CTAATCGATTAATCGACTAAGTTGGGTCTGTAAAATTCAAATCGATTAGTTGTCAACTTTACAACTAATCGATTAATCAATTTTCGATTTGTAACACTACCCTAAACCCTAATCCTGTATTTTTCGGTGGCTTGTCTATATATCTCATTTCATTTTAATCTGATTTCATTTTAATCTGTCAGTAATTGATATCTTAAAATAAACAAAAAATTCAGGGGTAAAATGGAAACCCCTTCAAAGGCGGGTTTTCCTAGTCCATCACCCAAATAAGTAAAGCTGGCATGCCCATGTCCCGTGCCTCGAACCCTAATTAGGACAATTATTGCATCTTAAATCAAGTTGACTTATTAAAAAAAAATCGAATAAAAAAAAATCAAAGAAATAAATAAAAATAAAAAAATAAAAGCGTTCTGTGCGCGCAATTCGTAATGTAATACGTAATGTTCGTGCATGCGCGTAAGATTATCTAAATTGATTAAAAAACAAAAAAAGCTTTCTTATACAGTATTCCTTTAAAAATAATCGTTTTTATTAGGCCTGTTCATGTTTACTTCAAACTAAATCATGAGCGCTGGAATATTTTGGATTTTTTTAAACAAATCTACTGAGGAACCTTTCAAACTCAAAATAGACACATACCTTAAGTCTCTTGAGTTGATTATGAACAGTGAACAAGGAAAAAGGTGTGACCAAGCAAAGTTGTTATATGATAATTATAAGAAGGGAAGTAAAAACCTTTTTACTGAAAGCGTTGAAATATACTGGGTGTTTGATAAGTCCTAGACAGGACCTTTTTTTAATCATTAAATAAATCATAATTTCTATTATACTTTATTCAAAATACGTAATAATTAGTTATATCGTTATAATATTTTATATAATAAAAACTAATACTAGTGAGATATAAAAAAGGTCCTGTCTAGGGACTTATCAAACACCCGGTGTGGCGTGGCGAACAAAAATCTCTTAGATTGTTCGTCATTCAAAACTCTTAGTTGAGCCACCAAACCTAGTAATGGGGCACAGATGACCTCCTAGCTTGTCTGTTGTTAAAAGACTCTTAGTCGATCCAGCACTAGACCCATTAAGGCACAGATGACCTCCTAGCCTTGTCTGATGTTCTGATGGGATTAGAAATCGAATGAAAATCAGTGAGAGTTGAATAGTAGTCCTAATTTCAAAATATTTATCCTAGGAACATCGATCCGATAAAATTAGGCGATCAATTGGGAGGAAGAGCGTTTAAGGAAGCAATTCCACATCCACCAGCAAATTTCTAACAGCGGAACTGTCTACGGCGGGATCACCAACAACGGAACAAATAATTATATTGCATCAGACAAACATGAAGAAGAACCGGTAGGCCTTTAATCACCAAATCTCGTCAATTTATAAATTTTATAAGAAAACATTCTTTAACCTCGATTTCGACTGGATCGAGTCTCACGCCCACTCTGCAAAATTACGACATCCGGGACAAATTCAGGAATTGTCAATGTAGATTCCATAGCGACCAGACATTACGATGGATTAGTTATATGGCACATGGAGGTAGCTGGCGGTCCATGTAACACGACGGACACACACACCTTGTGAGATACAAAAAAAACACTCCGTATGGATGTGTTAAATTTGATTGCAATATTGAGAAACCATTTTGATTGTAGTGTAGAACTCGCTACAAAAATACAAGTTTTTTGTACCCAGGTTATTGGTTGTATGACTAGTGAGATTGAATTTTCTGTTACTTATGTTTTATTTTTTTAGGCACTTGGATGACTTTGTATGCACATAGCATGCTCCCAGATGGAAGGTTTTTCTCTTCTGAACTTGCTACCGCAATAGTCCCTTTTAGCTTCAGTGGCCGGAATCAGTTCAGAGCTATCCTCAGGATGATGGCTATTTTTCATGTACGTGTATCTTATGATTTGCTTTTATATTTTATTTTCCCAAAATACTTATTCAGTGGTCTCCAGAATGAAATAACGAAACAAGAAGAGCTTATGGGCGAGATTGATAGAATTGTACTTCGATCCAAAGGAACAACAGTTCGGCAGGTATTGAAAATCCCTGAGGAATTATTCGAGTGAGTTTATGTATTTACGTTAGAATAATAGAATAGATTTACCGTAGCACATACATTGTATCAAGAATGATTTTTATGATGACATATTGTGCATTGGAAAATAAAAATATGTTTTCGTATACATAATAATGTCTTTGCTTTATTGCACAGATATCAATGTATATTAAACTACAGATCGAAATTTCATCCTGAATTATTAAAACCGTTCCCTCGGGGAAAATCGTAATCGAATTTTGTGCAATCTCATACGTGTTGTGTTAAAATAGTTCCCCAGATTTCCATGTCGAAATATCTCGGCATCATGATCGGCATGAATTCTGAGATACTTGACAAAATTTTGACTGACGATAAATTTGCTTTCGGCCGATCGGTAACATTGATTCCGACTCGGTAACTTATCGGTTAAAAATTTCAGCAGTCCCAGAATTTATGAAAACAGCTGTAACTAATTTTGCTCAGGGTCATTAAAAGTTTTACTAATGAGGTCATAGCCCACTCACATATGGGCGGAAATCTTCAATTTTGTGATGTTTGTGATTAGGTAAGTTGAATGATGAGATTAAATAGAATTTGAGCCAATAATATATATAATACAGTGTGATTACTAAGATTAAAAGTG